TAATTTGTTCTTATCACAAGGAGGCCTTGACAACTGCAACCTAGTAATTTTCCAGAGGTCATACTGGGCCTGTGGTCCCTTACATGTTCCCCTTTTCTTTCCTTAAGAGGGAAGGTTTAGCAGAGGGGTTTGTGCCTGTCTTAGGTTGTCCCGAGGAGTGGGAGACTGTTGCCTGTCATGGGGGCAATATGCAAGGCAACGCCCCTGGCTTAGGTCAGACTCCCCTCAGGGGGATCTTACCCGTCATTGGCTAACCAAACCAGCGCTCAGACTAATCCTTGGGACCGGCCAATGTCGGTATAAAGATCAGGGTCGCCAGTATCCAGCCGACAATAATGGACCTGAATAGGTTTGGACAAGGCCTTGTCCAGCTGTTGTTTGACATAGGAGGTGATCTTCCGGAACACCCAAGGACCGAAGGTTAGAGCTAATAAAAACACAAATATAGGCCCTACAAGAGGTAAAACATAAGGAAGAAAGCCATGAAGATTACTTAAAAAAGGATTTTCAAACAGTTCTCTCCGACGCTTGACCAGATCATCCTGTAATTTCTTTATCTTGTCCCGGACTACACCGGACTTATTAGCATAGAAGCAACATTTCTCCTGTAAGGCCAAGCATATACCCCCTTGTTCGGCTGTCAAGAGATCCAATCCCCTTCTGTTCTGCAAGACCACCTCGGCTAGAGAGTCGATCTGGTCCTGGAGATCACTAATAGTTCCTGATAAGGTTTGGATATCATCAATGAGCTGTGCAGAGAGTTTATTATAGGAGTGTATGGCGACTCCCAAGCCCCCAGACCCTGTCGCAAGGGCTCCCGTAATGCCCAAGCCAACAAGCAAGGGAATAGCAAATACGGCCCTTTTATGTCTTCCAGCCATAAAGTCGAGGCTGGGAACCGGAACAGGCTCGTTCCCCGGAACAATATCCATCTCAGGTAGAACGGAGGCAATGGAGCAATAACCAGTCCAATTTACGGGCAACGCTGGGAACGCCATATTCCCTCCGCAGAGAAAAACATGGCCTAGAGGGGGACACAGGAAACTGCTAGTAAGAAGGACAGAGGAACAATTCACATGAGGGAGAAAACCCACATCAATGGAGACAGAGGCATTGGGAGTGGTACCCTCAAAGCAGGGGGCTACAAAGAGTGACTGATTCAAAGGGATCGGTTGAATCCTAAAAGGGGGGCCTAGGGAACAATTTACCGGACGGGAAGGATTTTCGGCAGGAGCAAGGTTACCAAGGAGGGGTAACGCCATAGGAATGGGAGTACCGAGGGGCAAGCAAAGCCAGCAGTCCGCAGCCAACACAGGATTGGTCTTATTTAGCATAAGGTGAGTGGATTCCAAAATGACAGACGTCTGACTATCAAGACTCAATCTGTGAGGCCGGGGACGCGCAAGAGGATGATAATGGAGGGAGGGGAATTGGGCCCGAATGAGTTCCTCAATGTGCTGCTGGACCTCATGTTCTCTGACTCTGTCAGAAGGGCCCCCTCCGTCTGATACATGTAGGGGTGCACGTTCGGGCCAACAGACATTGTGGCCAACATCGGCAGACAAACAAGACGCCTGGGCATATTTGTTAGTATGTCCCTGGAGAGTGGCGGAGGTTTCCCCACCAAAGGTTCCTGCATAGGCTTGCTGTAGAACTGCCTTCAAATAAACCTTATTATTAGAAGAACACTGCTGGACGCTGTTATAGCAAAGGGAATGAATAGCTTGATAGTAGCGACAGGGGGAGGGGCAGGGACCAGGGGACCCAGGCAGAGAGGGAATGACTCGGGGTTTGGCAACACACTCCCACCGTTGCTTAAATCCCCCACCGGTGGATGGTCGATAGGTGAGATAGGCGGTGTATTCATTGCAGTCGTTGGAGTAAGAGAACCGCTGCGGTGTTACCCGTGTATACCCTCCACGGCAGTCACAGGGTGGCCCAAAAAGGGAGGCGAGGAGATCATTGCCGGCCGGGGCGTCAAAACCAGCAAGGCAGACCCTCAGGACAGCCAGGAGGTACCAGCGTAGGGGTGATCGTTTTCCAAGCATTTCCTGTAGATAAAGAAAAGAAATATTTCTCAGAGAGGTTTGTCCTCCCTGGAAGGAAGGTTAACTGGAGGCGGAGAAGCCATTTCACAGGAATCAACTTGCTTTACAAGCCTCTCAGGAAGCCAGCGAGCAGATTGTTTTTCTTTAATATATATACAGACTGAACCCCGACCCCAAATAAGAACAGGGTCAGGACCCTGCCACTGGTTAGTAAGGGGATCTTTCCACAGTACTTTGGCATAATTGTGCTGGGATTCGGGGTGCCAAAACCTATCAGCCGCTGCCAGTATCATCCAATTGAAGAAAATTTAATATGAAGAGAGCATGGCTGACCAGGTTCCGGGGGGATCCTTTGACTGGGTAGAATGCCCCTCTTCGAAGTTTGGTAATAGTGTTTTTTAAGGTTTGATGGGCCCGTTCCACAATACCTTGCCCTTGAGGATTATAAGGAATGCCTGTGACATGAGAGATACCAAGGGTGGCACAGAAGGAGCGAAAAGCTGTGCCAGCGTAGCCAGGCCCATTATCGGTTTTAATAGACTCGGGCTTGCCCATAACAGTGAGGCAAGAGAGGACATGAGCTATCACGTGGCAGCAGGCCTCACCGCTCTGCAATGTGGCAGAGAGAAAGCCGCTGTGAGTATCGATGGAGACATGCATATATTTTAAATGACCAAAATCAGAAACATGAGTCACATCCATTTGCCATAGGGCGTTAGGAATTAAGCCACGGGGGTTCACTCCTAAATGGGGGGTGGGGAGAAGGCTCACACATGAGGAACATTGCTTAACAATCTGTCGGGCTTGTTCACGAGTGATTTTGAACAAAAGTCTAAGGGTGGTAGAATTAAGATGATGAAGGGAGTGGGCATGAGTGGCCCTATCCACAGGGGACAGATAAAAAGCCAAAATAGGCATACGGGTGGCGTGGTCAGCGAGGTCATTACCCTCTGACAAGGGACCAGGGAGACCTGAATGTGCCCGCAGATGGCCAAGAAAAAAAGGGGCAGCCCTAGCATGGATGGCAGACTGTACTGAGAGAAATAGCTGAATTGCAGAGGAGTTAGGTTTTAGATGGGAGGCTGTTTCTAATAAGGGGACAGAGTGGGCCACATATGCACTATCTGTATAAATGTTCAAAGGAGTGGAAGGAAAAGTTCGGAGGACTACAGAAACAGCAAACAATTCCACTAACTGGGCAGAGTGATAGGGTGTGGACAGAGGGGTAGCCACGCCATTGCATGAATATGCAGCGGTCCCAGATGAGGAGCCATCAGTAAAAACTGTAAGGGCCCCTACTAAAGGCTCCGTAGAAGTTAATTTAGGGAAGACAAAGGGGTGTGTGCGAATAAAATGTAACATTTTATGAGCAGGATAATGATTATCTATATTTCCGGGAAATGAGGAAAGCGCTATAGGCCAAAGGTCAGAGGTACGAAAAAGCCAATCAACCTCCGCCTTTGCATAAGGTAGAATGATAGAGTGAGGCTCCTGACCAAAGATCTTAACACTGGTATCTCGGGCTTGAATAATGAGTTCTGCTACTAGATTATAATAAGGAACAACAACCTTGGACGAGGAGGAGGGAAGATGAACCCAGAGAAGGGGAGAGGCCACCTGCCAAAAGACTCCCGTGGGTGTGTGTGAAGTGGCACAGACAATAAAAAGGAATGGAAGGGAATAATCCAGGGTTGACACAAATTGGCCTTGAATGGCTTGTGTGATTAAGTCTAAAGCCTTTTTGCCTTCAGGAGTTAACTGTCTAGGTGATTGGGGGTCTGGGTCCCCCTTAAAATATCAAACAGAGGTTTCAAATCACCTGTAGTAAGACGGAGATAGGGGCGGATCCAATTAACATCCCCTAACAACTTTTGGAAATCATTAAGAGTTCTTAAATGACTAGTTCTCAATTTCAGGTTAGAAGGCCTAACTAGGGAACCACGGAGCTCAAAACCGAGGTATGTATAAGGGTCCGTGACTTGGATTTTCTCGGGGGAAACCTGCAGACCCCATTCAGCAAGGTTTTGCGAGAGAAAAGCAAAGCAATGGGAGAGGGATTGTGACTCGGGGCTAGCGATTAATATATCGTCCATATAGTGGAGGATATAAAGGGAGGGCCAACGATCACGAGCGGGCTGAATAGCCGCAGCCACAAACTTTTGGCAGAGTGTAGGGCTATTAGCCATTCCTTGGGGGAGCACTTTCCACTGAAAGCGTTTCATTGGGCTCTGAAAATTCACAGAAGGCAAACTAAAAGCAAAACGAGCACGGTCAGCAGGGTGCAAAGGAATAGAGAAAAAGGCATCCTTAAGGTCAATAATGATTTTAAAAAATGAGCTGGGGATTGCCACAGGGGAGGGCAGACCAGGTTGAAGGGAGCCTTTGATGATCATGGTTCGGTTAACAGCGCGAAGGTCCTGCAAGAGCCTCCATTTTCCCGATTTCTTTTTGATAATGAAAATAGGGGTATTCCAAGGGGAATCGCTATATTCAATCCGGCCAGCGAGGAATTGCTCCCGCACTAGCTCCTCGGCAGCCTCAAGCTTCTCCCTTGGAAGTGGCCACTGATCAACCCACACGGGCACGTCATCCTTCCATAGGATACGGTCTGCGTGGGGTGCAGGAATATCAGCGGCCATCGGAATAAATTTCCCAGACCTAATCTTTCAGGGCGAGGAGAGGCCTCAATGGGAGAATGAATGCCCTGTGAGTTTTTTCCAAGACCTTGGCCAGGTAGGAAACCC